GCGGATCTCAAACACGCTCTTAGGCTGTGCCCAATCTTGCACCGCCTCAGTCTTGGATGTATCAACAGACACTCCTTCCCCAGTGGATATCTTCACAATGATATTTGTGTTGCATTATTTGAGTTGGGAAATTTCTTCCAAGAGCTTTGCTCAAAGACATTGAAGATGAAGAATTTGGAAATATTAGAAGATCGCATAATATTCATACTATGCAAGTTAGAAAAAAAATTTCCACCAGCGTTTTTTGATGTGATGGTCCATTTGGCGATTCATTTGCCGCGTGAAGCCATTCTTGGTGGACCTGTGCAATATCGGTGGATGTACCCCATTGAAAGGTACTTACTAACTTATTAAAACACTAGAATACTTAAATTGTAGCACAACCTGCATATGTATTTATAAAAATGTGAGTGTGTGTGTGTAATAAGATTATTCTATTGTTTGTTTCATAGGCTGCTTGGAACTTTAAAAGGATATGTTGCAAATCGAGCTCGTCCAGAAGGTTCGATCACAGAAGCTTATGTTGTCAAGGAGTGTCTCACATTTTGCTCAATGTATGTGGGTGGGATTGAAACTGTATTTAATCGAGAGGAACGGAATGTCGATGTTAGTGTGCATGAGTCAGGGTTAGAGGTCTTCGCGCAAAATGTTCGTCCTTTTGGGCTAATTACAAGGGTTTCTAACGTGTCTCAAAAAGAACGTGAAATGGCTCATTGGTTTGTCTTGAATAATAGCCTCGAGCTTGACCATTATCTAGAGTACGTTCTTAATCTTGTTTTTTTTTTTGTAGAATTATGTTTTCAATATAATATGTTACTTATGAATCATATGTTTGTAAGTAGGCAACACAAGAATCTTTTAGAAAATGAAGGTGTACGTGACATCACAAATAGACAGAAAAAGGAATTCCCCAAGTGGTTCAAAGAACATGTAAGATATAATCCCAAACTTTATTCAGCTACACTTATATGAATACTAACATAAATTGATGTCGTTATGTAGATGAACCAATTACGAGCTCAAGGATTACCAGAAGCAACTGATGATTTGTGGTCATTAGCAAATGGTCCTAGTGTGAATGTTAATTTGTATTCATCTTGCATTTCCAATGGTGTTCGATTTCATAGTAAGGATCGTGATAGTAGTCATAAATGCCAAAATAGTGGGTTAGTTGTGGAAGGGGAGCATGAGAGACAAACAATTAACTTTTATGGGTACTTGAATAGAGTGTGGGAGATGCATTACATACTTGGACATCGAGTTGTTTTATTCCAATGCGAATGGTTCAATACCGGTAGCAATAGAACATTACATACCGATACACATTGCACAAGTATTGATGTTAGAAGTCGATGGTATAAAGATGATCCATTTGTCTTACCAAGTCATGTGAAACAAGTTTTTTACGTTGATGATACAAAGTTAGGCGGACATTGGAAAGTCGTAGAAAGACTACAACATCGAGGAATATGGGATGTACCAGAACAAGATGGCTTTGAACCTGAAAATGTATTGCAACAAAATGAAACAACTGATGCTGTCCCAGTGAGCGTTGAAGACCCCGTGACAATCTCACTTCATAGGAATGACATTGATCCTCAAATTATCCCAAGTGAGGTGGTTTTACAATCAGTTAGTCGAGCACACAACGATGGTGTTGATGAGGAAGAGGGGTGCGATAATGAAGATGATTACTACGAGCATTGACTATCTGAGAAGATGAGCTACATAATCATTTTGATTGCAATATAGATTTTGACATAGAACTTTAATTGTTGTGTCATTTTTATGTTTTTATGACGCTATTGTTTAAGTGCCTTTGAGTTTAAGTACAATGACAATTCAAAAAGATTTTTTTTTTATTTTTTATGTTATGTTATGTTATGTTATGTTATGTTAGTTATCACTTATGTTATGATATTGATTCTATTATATAGCCATTGATATTAATGTAATTGCTTATTTTACATATGCTTCACACATGTAATTGTTGAGTTGTTGTGCTAGATGGCAGGCCCTGGTAAAGTTCGACATGCAGCATCATCCAAAGTTCCTCTACCTTTCCAACAAGCTGCAGCTAGAATTGCTGCCCCTACTCAGCATGCACCACCTATTTTAACCCCATCTACTCATAGTGTACCATCTACAAATGCTCTAAGTATCCAGCCTGCACCACTGACAAATGCAACTACTACCCAAGTTGCACCATCTACAAATACAACTACAACCCAGGCTGCACCATCTACAAATGTAGCTACTACTCAGGCTACACCATCTACAAATGCAACTACTACCCATGATGTACCATCTACCACTAGTTTGCGTACTCATTCTAGACAAGTCAGGGGTCAGACTCGAGGGAAGAGCATAGCACGTCTCATAGCTAACAATGGTGGTAAAAAAACGTCCTGTTTGGATCCCTGCAGATATAAAGGTGCCAATAGGGCCTTATGCCACTCCACTTGCGAATGAACTTGGCTTACAGATAAGGATGGCTGCTCCAATCATTGGTATAAAAAAGTGCGACAAGATTAATGAGATTCATAAAGCCCCAATCATTCAAGCAGTTCGGGTACATGTATTTGCTACTTTTCAGATAATTAGATTATCACTATTACTTGCATTTTGATATTAATAAAAGCATTCATTATATTTGTTGGATAAATTTGAGATTATTGATTATGATGAGAATGAAGAGGTTCGGAAAGGAGTCAATAAAAAGTGTAAAACTCTTTACAGAAGTTGGCGTAACAAGATTAAGACTCATTACTCGAAGTTGGTAGACGCTGGTGTTGACCCTTATAGTAAACCATACAAAGGGGTCGATTTTGAGGCTTGGGTATACATGATCGATCATGTATGGCTTGATGGCGATTATCAGGTAAAATTTTCTAATTTAAATAATCATGTTGTAATTTCAATTTAATTTTACTAATCAATTAATTTTGCAGAACTTGGCTAAAAAAGCAAGGGATAGTCAAGTGAGGTTACCATATAATCATACAATGGGCTCAAAGTCATTTCAAGCTGCAATGTATAAACAGGTGATGCATTTATTATATCTAACATAATGATTGAAATTAATTATGTATGCTTACTTTTAAATGGAATTAGGGTACCAAGAAGACTAACTTTGTAGACTTCTACAAAGATTCCCATTGGAGCAAGAGAAAGTCGGATTGGGTAGCCCCAATATGTGGTCAATTACATGCAAGTATGCCAATTAATAGAGTTACATATTTATGTAAATGATGGTATTTGTTAAAGTTGTTTACAAATTGATAGGAAGCTTTGAAAAAGCAACATGAAGAGTCTTTAGAGCCTGGGGCAATACCTTTAACTCAGGAGCAGCTGTCAATCGAGAGTCTTGGAAAGAAATCGGGATACTTAAAAGGCTTTGGAGTTGGTCCAAAACCATCATCATCCAGATCTTCTGTTACTACACAAGCACATACTGAGGTGGTTTCGAGCCTACAAAAAGAACTAGAGTCATTAAAGAATTTGTCCAAGGTGCAACAAGAACAAATTGCAGTCCAGAACCTGGTAGCACAAGAGCAAGCTAAAATGATTGAAATGCAAAACAAAATATTTGAAGAGATTGAGAACTTTATGAGGATGACCAAGGATCGGGCTGGCATGCAGGTTGATGAAAATGATTATTCATCAGAGGAATCTTATTGACAAACACTTTTGTTAGTATATTTTTCATAATTTACTTTTCAAATCACTACAATTATTTCATTTAATATGTCTGGTTGTGTTGAACAAACTGAACCTCGATTGGATCTCCGGTTAGAAAATTAGAAGAAAAATTGTAAAACACAAGACTTAAAAGGCCCGTTAGGGGGCCGAAATTGCGAAATGACCACCGAAACTTGGCACGGACAGCTTGTTCAAGCCTAAATAGACTTGTAGGAAAAAACGGGACCTCTATTGGATCTCCAGTTAGAAAATTAGAAGGAAAATTGTAAAACACAAGACTTAAAAGGCCTGTTCGGGGGCCGAAATTTTGAAATGACCACTGAAACCATCGAAACTTGGCACAGACAGCATGTTCAAGCCTAAATAGACTTGTAGGAACAAACGGGACCTCAATTGGATCTCCGGTAAGAAAATTAGAAAGAAAATTGTAAAACATAAGACTTAAAAGGCCCGTTCGGGGGCTGAAATTGCGAAATGACCATCGAAACTTGGCACGGACAGCTTGTTCAAGCTTAAATAGACTTGTAGGAACAAACATGATCTCGATTGGATATCCGGTTAAAAAATTAGAAGGAAAAATATAAAACACAAGACTTAAAAAGCCCGTTCGGGGGCCAAAATTTCGAAATGACCACCAAAACCACCGAAACTTGGCACGGACAGTTTGTTCAGGCCTAAATAGACTTATAGGAACAAACGGGACCTCTATTGGACCTCCGGTTAGAAAATTAGAAGGAAAGTTGTAAAACACAAGACTTAAAAGGCTTGTTTGGGGGCCGAAATTTCGAAATGACCACCGAAACCACCGAAACTTGGCACAGACAGCTTGTTCAAGCCTAAATAGACTTGTAGGAACAAACGAGATCTCAATTGGATCTCCGGTTAGAAAATTAGAAGGAAAATTGTAAAACACAAGACTTAAAAGGCCCGTTCGGGGGCTGAAATTGCGAAATGACCATCGAAACCACTGAAACTTGGCACGGACAGCTTGTTCAAGCCTAAATAGACTTGTAGGAACAAACGGGATCTTGATTGGATTTCCGATTAAAAAATTAGAAGGAAAAATATAAAATACAAGACTTAAAAGGCCCGTTCGGGGGCCGAAATTTCAAAATGACCACCGAAACCACCAAAACTTGGCACGGACAGCCTTTTCAAGCCTAAATAGACTTGTAGGAACAAACAGGACCTTTATTGGATCTCCAGTTAGAAAATTAGAAGGAAAATTGTAATACACAAGACTTAAAAGGCTCGTTCAAGAGTCGAAATTGCGAAATGACAACCGAAACCACCAAAACTTGGCACGGACAGCCTTTTCAAGCCTAAATAGACTTGTAGGAACAAACAGGACCTCAATTGGATTTCTGATTAGAAAATTAGAAGCAAAATTGTAAAACACAAGACTTAAAAAGCCCGTTAGGGGGCCGAAATTGCGAAATGACCACCGAAACTTGGCACGGACAGCACAAAAAGCTTACACAAGCCTAAATAGATTGTAGAAACAAATAGGACCTTGATTAGATTTTCGGTTAGAAAATTAGAAGGAAAAGTTGTAATACACAAAACTTAAAAGGCTCGTTCAGGAGCCGAAATTGCGAAATGACAACCGAAACCACCAAAACTTGGCACGGACAGCTTGCTCAAG